TTCCAAACATAAATCTCGTAATCCCATGTGAATAACGATATTCAAGTATCACGCTAAGCCTCTGCTAGAGATTTCCAATTAATTGAAATCTATAATTGAATATTGCTGGTCATATTATAAACTACACATAGTGGGAAACCGTCAGATTAGAAGCAATATGGAATCTATTTTACATAGTCTAAATCGCACACCTACTGTAGCTGTAATGATTGTTACCTTCGACTTAGAGGAAATAGATGCTAACTGCAAATTAAACCCATTTTGATCCCAATTCATAAAACTTTACTAGTTTAATTTTTGCCTGTCGGCATCCTTGCTCTATAATTTTTATACCATTTTAAAATTAAAATCCTAAGCAACGGTTCTTGGAATTTGATTACTAAATTACTAGGGATTGACGAGCCTATATAATTTCCAAATATAAGCTTCGTGTAGACGATACATCAATTATGTTGATTAAAAGGCGATTTTGTTGCGTCGAAATTAACTACTAGTATTTTGTAATGAAGCAGCTAAAAAGGCAAGGCCTGAACACTGCAGGCGGAACTGATATAATGCTGATCAATGTCAACAAATGTCTCAAATGGTTATTTACAGTTGATCAGATTAATTCAGCTTGTCGCAAGATACCGGGTATCAAAGTTCAAAGAAAAATGGTTTTCCGCAGAAGAAAAATAATAGCCAACTGAGAAGAGAAAGTCATAGAAACAGAACAACATTCCCTAAAAGTGATCAAAGTTGATTTGATTTCATTTTAACGATGTTTAAACATGTACCGAAACTTTTCATGTTCCCTTGTATAAGGCGTAGGAAACGAAGATATATCGAGAGACAAATAGTTGCATCATCAGGTACTTAATCCCCGCCCCCCGGACACCACTGGAATTCATAATTCTCCCGGTTGAGATATTAATACAAAAACATTTTTTTAAAATTTGACATCCTGAATTTAGAGAATTAGGATTTTCAAGACACGTTATTATATGAACTTCCTTGAGGAATGTGCCCTTGTAATTACGGCCTATCATGAAGTGACACTCTGTATAGTGAAGACTGAGCTTTCTGCTAAGGCCATCTAGCCGACCCAGAAAGCTATAAAATCACTGCTCTTGTTAGTATATGCATATATCTTCGCGCAAATTTGCATAGAATTTAGCAAGTTTTAAAAAAGTCAATTGAAAATATTTATTACTCTATGTAAGTCTACCCTACACGGATCTTACGGTTACTTGTCAAGGAAACGGTCAGAAAGACATAAGTGAGCACGCGTCCACTCTTAGCCTTATCTTCCAACAGTATTTCTAGTAAACACTCACAGTAGCCTAGTAGGAAAAGTATATCACGATACACATTCTTTTAGATAACAAATTCATAGATGGCACGAACCTCTCTTAAAATTTTAACTGCTCCTTCTACAAACACTTCGTGTAGTAACCATCAGCGATGGGATAAACGTGAGGCGCCAGTACTAAATTGCCTTAAAAGCTTTAAATGGTTTTGGCTGTTTAATAATAAGGGTTTTCAGATGGGGTCGACCGATAACTGCTAAAATATGCGTTTTGGGGAATAGACAGAATCTAGTTATACACAAAATTCTTTAGTAGGTTGCAGATAAACTGTTATTTCATATTCCACCGGCTATTGATCTCGTATGTAATTCCGAACCACAACTCAGAAAAACGACAATTGACACTGTCGACTTGATAGCAACTAAAACACTATACGAGAGAACATACTTTGAGGAAAGTTGTAAATGTAATCCAGGTCAACTCATTCTTATGAAAAGCACCGTTGGAAAAAACCGGAAAAACGTATTATCTGGCAGTTGATCTTTGTAAAATTTATGTTAAATCCTGCTCTGATCCTTTGTCTTGAGTTTTCAAAATACTAAAAAAAGTTTTGGCTGTCTATACTGACGCGTTTTAATGCCGTTGTAAGCCGATTTTTATTTTCCTCGATGTATACTTTGAAGCAAAGGTTTTCTGCTGTTTAAACCACTGCCACATATTATTGGTACACTAGCTTAAATTCTAAGTGGCTGACACCTGTTTGACATCACATGTACGACAGTTTAGCAGACATTGCCTTCATTTACGTTTGTACTTTGCAGAATAAAAACCAGATTGTCCCTAAAAAAACATTTCTCTATTGATAAACCTGTTACTGTTTACCATCTATCCGAAGTACTTTGATTAAAATTCTGGGAACTAATCAAACAATCGCAATATCATCCATCAATCTCGTGATACAAAAACTACAAAACGTTACTAGCTGTAGCTTAAAAAACGTATTATAATATCTGGTTCCAAAAGGCGTACGCCAAGTCGTGCTTCAGGTACCACACGTCTCTCTACCCCGCGCTGCTCCGGCAAGGTGGTACCGGCTGTGACTTACCAGAGGTGTACCGATTTCGGGTTTGCCCTAAGGGGTCTTGGCTTATAAAGTTTCTTATAAATTCTGCAACTCGGTGGGCTGCAGCTATGGCCAAGTTCAGCTCTTTTGAGATAAGAGAAAGATAATTAACAGTAATTTCAATTGATATATGCAATGAGCAATACTTTTATATGTAGGTGAAACACTGATATATTGCCTACATCCATTTTTTAACAGGCTACTTATAACGGTTTTTAGAAACTAAACTGCTCAAACTAATTAGCGAGTCACCATATTTGAGTACTTATTTCAGCACTACTACTTGTTTAATAACTCTGCGGACTTGAGGCAAATGTAGTTTCGTCCTTCCTCTACGCGATGCTTTAAAGCGCATCTCAATCAAATAAAGAATTCCTGCGCTAGAGTCCCTAGAGTGACTAGATGTCGCAAAATTGGCCGCGACCTTCACATGAATCCTCCGCTATGTAATGGTTGTTATTTAACATAAAGAAAACGTGGTTCGTAATAATAATTGAACATGCTGCTTTTGTCGGTTTAACCAAAGACATCCAACCATGGATAGCTGTTTCGTGATATCTAGCAACTCATCGGCATGGTCTAGGCTTGGTCTCTGGGAAAACAAGCGATAGCATAGCAAACGTATTCATGATGTGAGGCATCGAAATAAGACATCTATATCGCCAGAATCGTCAGCTTCTAGCAATTATAGTGGTGTCTGCTCAACCAAACGCGGTCGGAGATCATTTTCAAACCGATAGAGACGGTAGAGACGTGAGCTCTGCAGGATTGTAAGAGTCCCATCGGTTGATAAAGATAAAAACTAATAAGGAAAGGAAGATATCTACTGCTCGCCGTCAAAACAAGTAAATTATTATACCAAGGACACTTTACCCGCGAAACCAGATATACAGGGTGTGCCAAGCCGGAAACGAGGGATCCACAAATATTTGCACATTAATTTTTGCCTCACTGAGTTTCTAAAATGTATGTTTCAAATGCAGAAACCCTCTTCCATTTCGATCCATAGCTTTTACAAAAATTTTCATCTGTCCCAACTTAATATGCAAAGGTGAAAGCAACACGTTTTTGGGATCAACTACTGGTTCATGAGCAATGCTTTTGAGGCCGGAGTTAAAACCTGATGTAGTGGCCACTCCGCCTGTTCATAATGACGATCTCGCGCACGACTGTCCCATTTACAAAGAAAACAACAATATTTGGTATATTCCAGTTGCATTCCAAGAAGAATGGCTATTACCTTTAAATCTGCACAAATGGCCAATCCATATTTATTATAACGCAAATGCTCTAAAAGAACTCCCTTTCTTGACGGAAACAGTGTGTGAGGTTTTGTTTCCGTTTTCGGTAAAACACCGTGGAGAAGATTCCATCCTTTTAATCTTGACGCTAAAAGTTCTGACTGGGATTTTGACAGATTTAATTCTCGAACTAAGTCAGTAAGTTCGCCCAGTGTGATCAAATGCAGGTCAAACGAAGAATTGGAAATTTTTACGCTTTCTGTACCATCACTTTCAGAATCGGTGGATTCGACTTTTTCATCCAAAGGCCAAGATTGTGGTAAAACAGAAAGTCCATCACAATACTTAACGGGCCGCAAAGCTGATGGTAAATTAAAATACTTAACAGTATGTTTTGATGTTGGTCCAATACAACGTTACACAAGTCTTACAACATATATGAGAGGCCCACAGTTTATCTTGGTCGCCAGCTTCAATTCCAAAATAAAGTTCGTATGCTTTCAATACGAGGGAAATACGTTTACGGGATTTAAAAGTTAGCTCTCCGCACACATAACAAAAACTGTTCGCACTATTTACACAATTTCTGGGCATTGTCCATAAAGCTAGTCTCGATTACAATAAACTAAAAACAATACACTGTTTTAACAAAAATTAACAGTACTCAATACTCTTCAACACAGAAAACATAACTGACTGCTATTAGTCTACTAATAAACGCAATATGCTCTCCAAACATAGAGCTCGCATATAATAAACAAGAATAGACAGGTCTTAACATTATATATGTGTGTCATCGCATAAATGCAGCAATTTGAAATGTTATGTATTTTAATTCATTAAAGTAGATGTTACCGAATATATGTGGGTGATAGAAAAATTCTGTTTTTAGATTTGATTTGAGGATCTCAAAATACATAAGATACACCCAAAAATTGTCATATCACAAATCCTGTGTTTATCAGTGTAATTTGAACACGACTATTGTGACTTAATCTTGGTCCGTTTCCGGCTTGCCGACGACTTCTGAGACATGTTGTTACAACTAATCATACAGGGTCAAATCAAAGGTAAGCGAAGTATTGACAGAGGAATTGCGTGGTTGAGGAATTTCAGAGGATGGTTCGTTTACAGTTCCACTTATGTAACTGCCATCCTTCGTATCAAAGAAGGCAAATATTTAGAAGATCAACACTATTTCTGCTATTGATGTTCAAATGACTATGCACATCTGCAAGTGGACCTGCAGCTGAAGTTTCTTCTTAGAGGAATATGAATTAATCAAAACACGTATACTAAAATCCATAATAACAGAATTCAACAAGTTATATAATTAACAATAAGCAATCTTCAGTCCTGCTGCTCTTCGAGCTCTCCAGATGTTCCTCCGCCTCTGATTCGCTCTTCCCCTCTCTCTCTCACACACTTCTTCGCCTTCCATCGTCCGCAAGCACACCTGTACGCCGAGTAGCCGGTCTTCAGGTAACCGAACGTAAGGAATCGAAACCAAAACGGCTCAGCTAAGTCGCGAGACAGTACTGCGCGCGTTGATTCTCAATACAAACGTGAAAAAGTGCCGGAAATTCACCGGAAAATCCTGGAAATGACCGGCTGAACCTTCGGGAAGATGACCAAGAGCAAGACTCACCGCGCCAAGGCGCTGTTCCAGGTTGCCGAGGTAACGTAGCATTGTATTTGTTGTTGTTATGGGCGGCAATGAGCGGCCATATTGGATTTGACTGAAGGGGGGGAGGGGGGCTATAATGTAGCGTGAGTGGAAAGCGGTAAAAGTTTGGGTTTTAATTTTGGAACCAGTTTACAGTTAGGCTGAGATTTATTAGCATATTCAATATTATCGCATGTTGATAGTAAGGAGTAGTGACAACTTAGATACTCGTAGTGATGTACAGCATAGGCGGTGACCTTTGGTACTATAAAATCAATATTTATGATTTCGCTATTGAGCTGAAACGACTTCAAGACCAGAAGGGACAATTATTTTAACTTTGCACTTTCATGGACCATTCTAGTGATTTAAGGATTAGCCAGATTGTTCCAAAGCTTTTTATGCCGATCGTTATTCACCACCTACTTTGATCATTTACACATCTTTGACTTCATATACATACTTTTTTTGATGTTTTCTATTTATCCATTATTCTTATCGAGGAAATATGAAAACAAACTTTTAGAATTGAACTGCTACTTTTCCCTCCCGAATCTTTTATTTTGTTTACATGATATTATCTTGCCAATCAAATACTCAAATAAATTTAACAAACAAATTAAAATATCTAGGTGCATATTTAGACCCACGCTTTAAGTGGAATATACATATCGATCGTGTAATAACCAATATTCGACCATTATTGTATGTATTGTAAATTTAAGTACCTTAAATATTTGGTTAAAAAAAAAATAAAAATACTTTGATCGAAAGTCGTATGAGGTATACTAAGTGACATATAAATCCGAACACCCAGTTTAAATGGTTTTATTTTAATAAAATTTTGTATAAGTACTTAATGAAGCATAATAATTAAATGATAAAAATTTCAAAATGATTGCACTGCTTTAAAGCTCTTTGACCTTTAATAATGTGTGGATGCACTCTGATATGCTACGCATTCTCCAACGCGCCTAGGCATGCTTCTGATCCGGTGGTCAATGTCCTCCTGTGGTATCTCATTCCAGGCAACCACCAACTCCTCTCGAAGTGCTTCTAGAGTCTGAGGAGGACGTTGCAAATTGAGCAATCTCCTACCCATCATATCCCACACGTGCTCAATTGGGGATAAGTCGGGAGATCTTGGTGGCCATGGTAACAATGTGACATCATTATGTTGAAATAAGTCTATTGTGACTCTTGCAAAATGTGGTCGGGCATTATCTTGTTGGAAAGTTGGATCTGCCAGGGTGTCAAGATAGGGTAAAAGATGGGGTTCTAGAACTTCGTGGATATAAAGCTGCGCGTTGATGTTACCTCTGATGAAGATTAAAGGTGACCTGGAACCATAAGATATAGCACCCCAAACCATAACTCCAACTCCTTCTAACCCTGGCACGACCATCGTGCATGCCTAAACAAAATCGAAACTCGTCACTAACGCAATACTGTTCCATTCCTGATCCCAGAGTGACCGTTGTCTGCACCATTCAAGGCGATTACGTCGGTAATCTCGAGTTAAAGGGAGGACCCAGTGTGGCCGGTATGAAAACAAGCCAAAACTTCTCATTCGTCGGTAAACACTTCGCATGCCAATAGGTCTTCCGTGTTCTGCAAACCATTCATTTGCAATGGACCTGGTAGTGGAGAAACGGTCCCTTAAGGCCAATAATCTTAGGCGGCGATCTTCACGGTCTGTTGTTCTACGGCGGCGTCCAGTGCCCCTTGCTCTTTGCGTACGGCCTTCTCGAAGCCATGCCTGACAACACCTAACCACAGTGTCTACACTTCTTTCCACTCTAACTGCAATTGCCCGAAAAGAAAGTCCAGCTTCCCGAAGTCCCACTATACGGCCCCTATCAAACTCACTAAGTTGACGAAATCGTACAGGTCTCCGTACTCTAGGCATCGTAACCGATCGTAAAGGATGTCAAGAACCAAAATCCGCCAACGTTGATTCTTTACTCCGGCTGAAATATTCATTTTTAGAGCGTTAGTGAATTAAAACAAAGCAGTATAAAAACCGGAATGTCCAACTGATAAGGCTGAACATTTTTTCAGTTGTTATTTACAGTAAGATAAATACATTCACCAACTTTTATTATAAAAAAAAACCATTTAAACTGGATGTTCGGATTTATATGTCACTTAGTATATTTAGCGTAACCAAATGAATAAAATAGAAATTATCCAAAAACCCATCTGACTTTGTCTGTGTATTCTGAAGCAAAACTGTCAGACCCTATTCAAATAGTTTTTTACAAAATTATGATTTATCAGTTTCAACATAGAAATTATCTTATTCTGTTAGATCACTTATATCAAACGAGAAACAGAATCAAAAACATCAAGCAAACACAGTTTACCTCAAAAAGTATACGTCAAAGATGACCTGCTTTCTTTTCCACAAGACTATATGACATATTACCGAATGATATAATAAATGTTCCAAATAAAATTGAAGCAAAAAATTTAAAAAAGTCGACATTTAAATTGCGAGGAAGATATGTATGAATAAAAATTAAATTTAATGTAGTATTTCCCATGTTCATATAATAATAATGTTTATTGTATATCTATGTGTATGCAATGCACAAAAATTCATTCTTCTGTGGGTATTGTCAGTTTATTTACATATAGGTATGATAGTTTTAGTTATGTTTGTACAATAGGTGAATAAGCTTATTATTGTTATTCATGTGCGTTATATATTAGAAAAGAGTCATCAGCCCACATTTAGCCCTCATTGGCCCCATTCTCATGTGCTTCCCAACGATTGCTCATCTCTAGATCGCCAGACACCCTAAATTTCAGGTGGTAATACCACCTAGTGGAGTTCCCCCTACATTATCAAGTTAGTAACACTTCTACTTCTACTTCATTTGTATTATAATTTTTACCTCCAATTGTTTTCTTTCATATGTCAACGAATGAAAATAGGAACGTCTAATGATTTTGTTGAATAATTTTCATATTAATAACATGAGATTCATTTTTTATTGCCCAAACACTTGCGACAGTGATTTAAATTTGTTCCATATATCATCATTACCTTAACAATTGGATAAACACTCAACAACTTAATTGACATTTTTACTGTCTATTTAATGAATTGGTAATTGACTCAACATATAATTTGATGTACAATCATGTATACAAACGTTTATGTAATTATATGGCATGTTTCATTAGGGAAACGATTTTTTAATATGGTGAGTAGTTTAGTTGAATACGAAGATGATGGATTTGAAACTGTAGTTCTGATTAAGTTGTATAGTTTCTACGAAATATTGTTTTCGAATTATGAAGACAAGACTCGTATTTAGCTGTTGTGATAGTTCAATAACAATGCATTGTTTTGGGTTAACTCGGTCAACTTTGGAAATAGTTCCCTAATTTATCTGTGTCGATTTTCGATTTGCACTGCTTTGACTTCATTTTTTATTGAAATATCAGGATCATACACAAGCAGTTTTAGGAAAACATATCACCAATTTTTACTATACGAAGATTCTTTGGATTTTTGACCGATTACTGATTATTAATCTAATCATAGAAAGAGAAATAATAGTAAAGGAAACCACAACACCGCTACCAAATAAGAGATAGTGGTATCCATTTAAAATATAACGAACAACGGCTAGCACGAGGAACAGGAAAGAGGTTATTTACCGCAATTCTTTTGTAGACCGAATATCCCATAGGTAAGGAGCGTTTACACGAAAATAATATTGTTAAGACATTACGGATTCGGGCCTCAGAACAAAAGTATCATTAAAGTAGGATTTTTTTCAAGTTGAAGTCGTGTTGTGGCAGACGCGCGCCTCTGGGTTCCCACGATCCGCGGCCTTTGTCCGCGATCTGAACCGTAAAAAATGGAAGCCCTTAAGGCGACACATGTATCCTGCGACTCTGGGTTCAAGGGTAGGGAAACAGGTAAAATAAGCATAGCTAGCAGCGCCATTTTTAACAACTATAATCAGCATTAATGGGTTGATTCGTGTTATCGGCTACTTTTTATTTAATGCGCAACTGGCGAGGAAGTATTGTTATCGAGGAATATTTCAAAAATGAGATATTATGCTTTTTGGATATCTGTCTGTTTGTCTAACTAACTTGAGAAGTACCGCTCGGTTTTGAAGAAACTTTGCAACAGTTTTGTAGTTTTTGACGCCCAAAAACAAAAATCGTTCAAAATTTTTTTTTTGGCGTTTCAGAAGGTCCTGATCATTTTCAGAAAAAAAATTGCAAGGGTTAAAAATTAAAATTGGGAAGTGGAGCAGAGTATATGTTTCTATGCACGGTAATTCTATGTCTCTACTAAACATATTTCAGACATTCTCCTTTAAAACTTGAATTATAGAGATGCTTTCGATATACGCGTGCCTCAGAACTCGACCACCTAGCGTCTATGTGATTTGATTGCCAAGAGATAGCTATATGATGATGCGTGTATTCATGTATGTAATCCCGTGCTGGGTTGTCACGTTGCTGGGTGCTCAGGACTATCGGTGAAGCGTTAGGCTAGATCGCAATGCCAAATCTGTGGAACTATGACTAATTGTATGAACCTGTTTGACCGACATGGTCCATTTATTTCCTTTTTTATACATGTTCGAAGCCAACCTATTTCTAAGAAGGACTAACTTGTGTTAAACATAATCCTTTATGGATTCATGACAATTTTGCGAAGGAAGTCCATCTACTCGACGCCATTTTTTAAGGGGTTAGGAGATGAGCTTTGTTTTCCTATTCGTTTTAGTAATTTCCATCCTTCACGATGTCATGCCTTTCTATGTTAGCAGACCAATTTGCCCAGCTTATGCTTCTAACTCACTCATACTCTAGGCATCTAGGTTAGGTACACTAAATTATGAATGTGCGTATAATGTTCAGGAGATCTTGATGTGAGTCCATCAGTGTTATCACTGATTAGTCTGAGGAACTTCTGCATAGATGTTTCATATGTGAATTCTCTAATATTTGAAAGATTTGGATGCTATTCAGAAAAT